GCTTTGGATAAAAGCATCAGCTAAATGTAATGTAATGTAATGTAATATGTACTGGCTTTATTAATAATAAAAGGGATTCCTATATCTCAGCCCAGCGCTTGCCTCTTAGTCTTACCACCATGTAGTGATCTTGAGAAGACGTACACGTCTTGTGACAGGGCTGGCTCAGCGATGTGACAGGGTGTCTGCTTGGGGTTTTTTGGTTGAATGCTCCAGCTGTGTAGTGCGGATAGAAGTTATGTGTGTGGTTTGGAGAGAGAGAGGACAGGTTCATGAGATGGGGAACAGGAGGAAACACACGATGCAGCATGGGTACAAAATGAGATGTGACAGAAACTCTGCCTAAACCACAGAAGTGTTTATTTAAGAGCCATGGGCTTGACAGAAAAAAGAGTGAGGGGGATTATGGACATATAGAGGTAAACAGTGTTTCTGTGAGTTTATTGTTTGTGGGTGTAAAATGTAGGACACAGGGATAAGGAATGATTTTCTAAACAAAGCCTCCTTCTAAAGAAACACATTCAAATGTTATGTTGTGAATGAAAATGAAGAAGAAGAAACATTGGTTCAGGTTTGGAGACAGTAGTTTAAAGGATTAGTTATTGGAATTCTGAAAACTATACATATTTGATTTGTTGTAGAGTTAAAGGTGTATTACTGTATTGTGTAAGTCCTGGCAAAGTGCCATAAGAAATTACGGGGCAGCATTTTACCTATTCTACTACTCGTTCATTTTCTAGTTGTTTAGATGCTTTAATGTTCAAAAAGCTCTTTATTTGTCTCATACTGCCTGTGCTGCAGCACCTCTTTTCACCCTCTGTCTGAAACCAGAGCCAAGTCTGCTCTGATTGGTTAGCTGTCTGGCTCTGTTGTGATTGGTTAATCGCTAAAGCCCGCGTCACACTGTCCCGAAATTGACACCAGATGGACACACGATAAAGGAAATGTTCAAATTCGGCTCTGATCGTAACAACATCGGGCCATTCGTGAGGGCATCTTAAGCCATCGTATGACCGCCGGTGGAGTTTCTCAGGCTCCGGCAGCAACTTCGTGAGCGGTTGCAAAATCTTTGGCATGCCAAAGAATTGCCGAAAGACCTTGCGAAGGTTCATTTTCGTGTTGAATTTGTGTGTCCATTTTGCCCTTCGTAAGGCCATCGTGAGGGCATCTTATCAAATCGTGTCATCTTCGTCTTTACTTCGTGTGATCATCGCTGCCATCGGCCATTTTTCGCCTCACGAAGACAATACGAAGGAAACAAGAAGCTGCCCGATTGTCTTAGGAAGGCAACACGACTACGTGAAGCCCTCGCAATGCCGTTGTGTAGCCATCGTATTAAAGTACAATTTGTGTTCTGTGAAACTGAAAAGGATATTACATTGTTTTTGTTACTTTCGTTGCAGTTGTATGTCTTAAATGTAATTTAGGTTAACTTCCTGTTTTATTTAGATGCTTTTATTTTGAAGGCGAGTTTACGCTGTTGACAGGAAGTTGTTGTTGCTATGGAAACAACATGACGGAGTGTGTGGTTCGGGTGCCATCGTGTGGCCTTCTGTAGGCATCGTACTTGCTTCGGCTGTTGCTTGGCTGTTGACCAAGTTCGGTGCGAAATTCACAATTCCATATTCGTGTGTCCATCTGGTGTCAATTTCGGGACAGTGTGACGCGGGCTTTAGAGATGTGACAGAAATATTCCGCCCATTGGCCTATTATATACAATGTTTTGGAGCGCTAGCCAATAGGAGCCTGGTGTTACATAGTGATGTCACTATGTCATGTCAGTAAACAGATGATTACAATGGAGGTGTTCACTCAAGAGTGTGTGGGAGAAAACTGCCTCTGGAGGGAATTTGGGGATTTTAGCTTTTGCAGACCATTTACATGCGCACAAACCTATATAACACAGTAGAGGAAAGGGAAATCCCGAAAAGCATAATAGGGCCCCTTTAGGAAAAAAATGAAATTAGCCGACAACTCACTAAAATCCAGGCAAGAATTAGTCAACTCGATTTTTGTGTTTATGGTAATAGAGTGAGCTCATAATTCTTCATTGCTAATAATATTGATGATAGTTTGTCTACTCTGTATATCTGACTCTTGTGACTCCCTTCTAAAAAAACATTTTAACTGTACCGAAATAGATTGAAATATTCCAAAAGCTGAAAAGGATTTATTCAAAAATAATCAAGTTTGTTGTTCCTTAAGAATACAATGGGGGGTTAAAACTGATTTGATTTTATTTAATTTAATTTAATTTAACCTTTATTTAACCAGAAAAGTCTCATTGAGATTGAATCTCTTTTGCAAGAGAGTCCTTGCTGGCCAAGATAGGCAGCAGCACAGTTACAGAACACAAAATGAAAACAATAAAAGATAACTATCTGGTCAGGAACATCATCATAAAAGCATCTACAGACAGAGTTCCTGTGACAGTGCCTCTCTGTCACTAAGAAGCACTCTAAAACTGTTTAGAGAGACCAGCTCCTTGAGGCAGTTCATGTTGCAGCTGGTTCCAAGCAAATGGAGCAAGTAACTAAACGCCCTCTTCCCCAGTTTGGTGTCGACTTTAGAGACAGTTAGCAGAGAACAACTCCTCAGAGGGAAGCCAATGGGTTCCCAAACTTTTCTGACGGATGTAAATCTGCAAATAAGGTGGGTGTTGGCCGGGTGCCATGACTTTTCAGAGTTTAAAGGTATGTTCAGACAGAGGGGGAAGAATTCCCCCCTTGCATCCTTTGCCCCAATTTGACTGCTTAACCCTTTGCACTCTTCGTGTTGATTCAACCCAAGCAATGTTCACTGTAACGTTGTCAGGAAACCATCAGAGACTCGAGTAGGTCATTGCATCAGGTCACATTATAGTCCAGCACAAGACCCCCTAATTTGATGTTTCTACTCCTCAGTATCTGTGCTAAGCTCATCGGCTGCTGCTGCTAGCCTCATGTTTAACGCACAGATATTAGAGTGAAATTGATCTTTTCATCAAACTATTTCTTTCAAGAAGACACATGAAGCGTGAGCAGCAGCTCGGGAGAAAAAAGGGCAAAAATGTGAAAGAATGAGATTGAATTTTCCTGTCGAATGGAAGAAAGGACTGAGGGCTTTTGGTGACAGAATGGAAAAGGATCGAGGGGAGAAACAAAGACGTTGCTCTTTCCAAGATGAGAAGTCTCACTTGGTTGGCTGCTGCTACTGGTGGAATAACAGTTTTCAGTTCAGAGAGAGATGTGTGTCGAGAGCACAAGCTGTGCTCAAATGCATGCACCACAGTCACTGAGGATAAGTCAAAAGAATACCTTTAACACGTCAAAAGACAGCATCTATTGTAAAAAGTTTGACAAAGGCTTTTCAACTCTCTTTCTAAATATACCCACATGAATTTACATCCTTTACTCATTTCTTTCTGTCTGTCTTCAAACATACTCAACACCTTAGCCTTGCCGCAACACACACAGGAAAACACAAACTTACCACGTCAATGATTTGTAACAGTGTGAGGCCCAGTTCCACAACAATTGCTGCAGAGTCGTTTTGGACGGGTCTTTCCAGACGGTTGTAGTTTACCATCAAGTCGTTGTACAGCTTCCTCTGGTACTGACCGCCATGACAACCTGAGCCAAAACAGGGTGGACAGTGACTTGTATGAAAAAGAGAAACAAGGTTAAACTGACATTTAAATTCAGCTGTTTACATCTTGACAACCCAGTAGTTTAATTAAACATACACACGATATTCTCCTACATATTAATGCCTGAAATCTAATCAAGGTAATGTTTGCAGTTATTACCAGCATTGTTTGTGCGGCGCCTGTTTCCCTTGAGAAATACTGATTATGTCAAGTAATGGTGAGCATAAAGCATGCATTAACAACTCTTTAATTGTGTTGACTTTGCTTTCTTTCTGTCTGTCCTGAATTCGGAATTAGGCCTCAACCATCTTTAACAGGAAGAGATTCTACAGAGCAGACCATGATGCTAGGGAAAACCTCCTCATTCCTCAAGGTAAACAGTCCACTCTCTGCACAACACTGTATCACTAAGGCTTCTGTAAAAAAAAAAATTCAATTTGAGTCCACATCATTTACCTCTATACAGACTTCAGTTGAGCTTGCAACTTTGGTTCCAGAATTTATGGAATAAAATAAAATATGTATTCACTTTGTTTAAAGAGGACATATTTTACAAATGTTCAGGTTCATATTTGTATGTTGTGCCTCTACTGTGACATGTTTACATGCTTTAACGTTCAAAATAAGTATGTATTTAACTCATACTGCCTGTGCTGCAGCACCTCTTTTCTGTCTGAAATTAGCCTGAGTCTGCTCTGATTGGTTAGCTGGCTGGCTCTGTTGTGAATGGTCAACCGCTTTGAGATGTCGCACCCCTTAGCCTATCATGTACAATGAGTTGGAATGCCAGTCAATAGAAGGGCAAGTGTTACATAGTGATGTCACTATGTTACAGAAGTTAACAAAGGAGTCCAATGGAGGTGTTTCATGCAGGGGGGGAGTGTGTGGGAGAGAAACTCCCTCTGGAGGGAACTTTGGGATTTAAGCTTTTGAGGACCATTTACATGCACACAAACCTATATCACACCATACAGGAAAGGGAATACTCCATGAAGCCTCTTTAAAAAAGTATTCCGCTTACAGCTTGTGATTATAAGGCATTATAAGGAAAAGGGGAAAAAAAGCTTGGAATTGTTTCCAAAGTAAAGTTTTTTTCGTGACACAGTCTCTTAAATGTTTCTATACTTCTTTTTAAGATGCAATAATCACGATCACAATATATATATACACAGAGGCTTTAAATAATCCAGCCTCTGAGACTTCTTTAATGTCAAGGTTGCCACAAGCAAACCATTTAAAAAAACGTTCACACTCCCTCATCCTTCAGTGTCTCATCTCAGCCAGAACTGAAAAGGTCTCACCCTGCATCTCCCCAGTGACCCTCATCCACATCAGATGTTGTCTCAACATATACTAACTATCCCTGAGTGACAGCCAACGCGCGTGCGGCCACATTGATTGAGCGGATGACACATAAACTAAGGGTGAGGTGAAAATAAACAAAGACAGCTCGCTTTATGTTTGTGTTTGATGGTGCTGGCGAGGGTCGAATTGGGCAACCCCATTTGTCAGCGTAACAGCCACCAAACAGGGGACCATTTTGGATTTTAATCAGTCAAAGTACATTTGATTAAGTTAAATCCCCTGAGTGTTTGGATTGTTATTGTATTACTTTTTGGACAATCCTCGTCTTGTCCTGTCAGTTACACTCCACGAAAAACACTCTGTACCTCCTTCTCATGATGAAAACAAATATCTCTTTGGTCCTCCATTTCTTACCAAAACACCTATTTGACATGTCTACACATGTCAAATTGTCAGAATAAAACCTGGGTGCAATCTTTCAAAGTGTACTTTCATTTGAAAAACAAGTTATAAATAGTTTTTCAATCATGTTTTTATAAATTGAGGAGCAGCTCAGAAATATAATCTTTTCTCAGTCAGCCAATCTCAAGAATATTGCAATTCATTGTAATCATGTTTGGCCAAAAACGATCTCGCACCTTCAGTTATTACAAACACAGCTGCTCAACTTTTATCACATTTTAAAAGACAAGATCGATCCGCCATGGTCGGCTGTTTTAGAATGTATTTTAAATTCCCTCTCCAAAGAACAGTGTATATATTTTTTCATTCGCAAAAAGATGGTTGAGCATTGTTTTATATACGTCACGTACTTATGTGCAGTTTATCGTTATTGTGACTTAAGACTACATACTGTATAGTCTTAGACTTGGATGTCATAATATCTTAAACTGAAACAAGTGTTGTCTTATTCCTGTCTAAGAAGTTTTCTTAGTTACATTGAAATGATGTCGTTTTTTTTTAACTGAGCAGTGTTCACAACCCATTGTGTAAATATTTTGTGAAAGATTGATTTCCTTTATATCCTATACCTTTGATTTGGAAAAATGATGGGTATAAGAGGAGAAAGAAAATCATAATTTGTCCTAGCCAAACTTTCAGAGAAAGCTCTGGAAGTCTTTCAGGAGCCATTTTCCTGAGAACTGTTTAGAAAATGACAAAAACAGACAGATACATCGACAAAACTTCTATTAAAGCCTGCTGTTGTACAATCCATTTATTGTGTGGACACAGCTAGTGCAGCCAATATGTTTCTGCTTCTTGATCTGGTTCTGGGTTATGTTTTTTTGTATCATGTAACAATGAACTTGAGATAAGTCTTGTGAGGATCAATAAGCACTTATTTCTGTTTTAAGACTGAGCTTCTATTTGTTTTGCAGAAACAAACCATATAATACGTTCTCACCATAGACAAAAAAAAGGACTCAAATGTATCAAAAATGTATTTTAAGATCATGTTTAGTCATCTGATTTGTCTGTACATTGCTGTCTGCGTTCTTCTGATTAGTGTCCACAGTGTGCCTATTGAGCCGTGTTGAGCGATGTGGGGCAAGCCCCGATCTGCCCCTCTCTCTCGCTGTCAAAATGAACGTGTACTGTGAAAACTACACTGCGCATGCTCAGAGTGTTTTTGCATTCAATGTGTGTGGCAAAAAAAGTATCACAAGTGGGGCAAAGTGCTCGCAGCCCCACTAAAACGTAATCTCATAATTCAGAGAGCTGATTGGCTGTAAGTACGTGTGCCGCGAAAAGTGTAGCTGTGAAGAGGAGACGAGAGAGAGCAGCGTATAGCTCACATCACCAGCGATTACAATCAGTAAAACGGAAAGAAAATGAATGAACCAGCTTTGGTAAGTTCATTTTATGTCATATCTTTTGTTGATCTTCTGTGTTTTGCCTATAGGCTATTGCTCTGCTGGATCGATTGATATTGTAACCACGGTGACAAGTGTCAGTGTTTTCCTTTTCATGCTGAAGTATTACGGTTGTTGTTATTGTTAAGTATTGCTTTGTGATAGCGTCCTTTACTTCATGTATTAAGGTACATATATTTGAGGTACATTACAATATCACGTCACCACGCTGTGTGCGTAAATGTACACGCTGACAGTGTTGCTCTGTGTTGTTAATTCACTGCTTTCGACAGTAGTAATGTGTTGCTCCCCTCTCTCTCACACAATCACACACACCCCTCTCCAGAGGTGGGGACTCGAGTCACATGACTTGACTCGAGTCAGACTCGAGTCGCATATTTTTTGACTTGAGACTTGCTTGACTAACATTGATAAAAGACTTGACTTGACTTTGACTTGGTATTCATGACTTGAGACTTGACTTAAGCTTGAGACAGATGACTTGAAAGGACTTGACTGTTTAAAATTAAATATTTGCGTTTGTTTTTGTCGTGAGATATTACGTTTAGTTTTTTCGAAAAACGTGATTGGGTGATTATAGCGCCATGCGCGCAAACCTGGCAACCCACTAGACGGCAGGACTGTCAGATAACATGGCAGCGGCTAGCGTTACTCCAAAATAGTGAAGTTTGGATTCAAGGATTATGTTGTCGATGACGCTAATAAGAAGAGAACAGCGGTATGCAGGGTCTGCAGCATAAAGATCAGTGACACGACCACCAAAACATCCAACTTCATTCGTCACTACAAAAAAACCCACAGAGAAAGGTGCGTGAATGTGTTGTGTTAGCTAGAAAGCTAAAGTTAAGTTTAAGCTACGTCAGACTTGGTTTCAAATCGATGAAGCATTGCAAAGAGAAGACAAAACGGTAAATGAACACTAGAACCGCCAAGGGATTCATTTTGACTAACCCCGATACTGACGGGCTGTCAGAAGAGGGAGAGAGGAAAAGAGATGCCTCGTTTATTTTCCCTGTGTTATCAGAAGTTACTGTAAACTGTTGAATAATGTAGTTCATCTACTTTTAGTAGTTTGTTTAAATGTTTTAATTATGTTGTTTTTGTTTGTAGAAGTGCATCATTCCTTGATTTATTGTAAAATGAATCTGAACCTTTTGATCTGTTATGATGATAAACTGAAGCAATTTCTAAATTAACCCAATTAACTGAGTTTTAAATCGTCCTACTTAGTTTATAAGGAAATTATGAAGAGGAACAAATTCAATGATTTGAAAATGATATCTATGTAGGTGCTGACGCTGTTGGCGGTTCTAGTGTTAACAGAAATGTAAATTAAATATGTGTAATGGCAAATGCCATATACGATTTTCTTACCTGGAATTCTGCCTTTTTGAACAGACTGATTGAGTCCTAGCTATATTGTCTGCAGTTCTAGGGTTAATATGAATCTAATATGATTGTCCATCGGTCTAAATTAGATTTCAAATGATTAACTGTGTATGTAATGAAGATCATAGTGTGGGTTTAAATCCATTTTCATAACCACTGTCTTTTAACTGATTTAAATGCGGAAACTGGGCTTATTCATCAGAATTTCGTATGACTTGACTTGACTTGACTTGACCTGAGCAATGACTTGACTTGACTTGCTTGACTCTCACCACAGTGACTTGGGACTTGCTTGATACTTGTAGGTCAAGACTTGAGACTTGCTCATGACTTGCACATGTAGGACTTACTCCCACCTCTGCCCCTCTCTCTATCTCTCTCTCTCTCTCACACCACCCCTCTCTCTCTTTGTATGTGACGATGAGCTCACTGTTGCCATCGGAACCATGGATAGGCTACAGCTATTTGTTGACGTGTTAAAAAAGCACAAAGAGCCTATATATACATATCTAAGTTTGTTCGTGCCCCACCAGTTTTGTAGCATCTAAAAACGCCACCAACCTACTTGTGCTTCTGTAACATGTGAAATTACCCCTCTGGGCATCTTTAAACTATTTTAAGACATTTACAGCTTATTTGGAGGTGTTATCCTCTGTGTTTTCCTTCAAAAATGTTCATGTCCTAGTTCTTCATGTCATATTCTTCTTGCCCTTAGAGCTTCCATCTGACAGACAGAATTCCAGGTCTCCAACAGCCAATGCATGGACCACTTCTATTCCTGTGTGTGTCATACTGCAACTGTTGTTCTTTCAATGTTCAGCAATAAACCCAGCACATACTGATTTTCTCCATGATCCAGATCATCAATATAGTAATAAGTACCAATACAGACAGTGGCCTCACGTAGCTTAAAGGCTTCTATCAAATAGCTGCCAAATATCTCTCTCATCACATTATGGACCTATTTACATCTCAGAACCCACTGGGGTCCCTCATCCAATTCTCAATCATTACAGCTCAGTTTGTATTGTATAGCAATACAAAAAGTGTTTTTTTATTGCTGCATGCTGCAGTAGAAGACACACAGGCAGTTCACTTTATGAGTCACTCTACCTTGGAGGGATTTATTTCCTTCAAAGAGGCCCTATTGTGCTTTGTATGCTTTTATTCCCTTTACCTGTAGTGTTGTATAGGTAGTTGTGCATGTAAATGGTCTGCTAAGGCTAAAATCACAATGACTTTCTCTCCCACACTCTCCCCCCTTGCCTGAAAAGACTTGATTGTAACTCACTTGTGTTTACTTCATAGCATAGTGGACATCAATGTGTAACACTCGTGCTCCTATGGGCAAAGCGCTCCAACACATTGACTTCTATTGTGATGTTTCATCATCGTCAGAGATAATTTCTCTATAGCCACATGAGATGTAGATATTATATGACTATAAGTGCTCCTGCAATACAAGTTTCATTTTCAAAGTGAATAAAACATTTCAACAGCAACACCTTTGTATCTCAAGGTATCCCAGCTATCCCTTTCTGAACTCAGCTATGCCGGTGTAATAATATGTATAATCTCACTCTATATTTTTCTTAGTGGGCATACAGTATTCAAAGAAAGTTAGTCTGAATAAATGATGTACGCAATACTTTGTTAAAGGTAGGGTAGGTAAGTTTGAGAAACCGGCTCGAGATACACTTTTTGTTATATTCCATGGAATGCTCTTAACATCCCGATAGCAATAAATATCTTAAGTGCTTTGACAAAAAATCCATAAAAAAACGTCATCTGTGGAAGCCGTGGTACTGTAAAAAGCACGACCAATCAAACTTATCTCGTGCCCTCATTGGTCATGTGCGCGTTCGTGTGTGTTGGAGGAGGGGCTCTATAAGGAAGTGGCAGATTTTCCTCCGGTTGTGTATTTTCAAATTCTAGCGATCTCGAGCCGGTTTCTCAAAACCTTACCTACCCCACCTTTAATGTTCAAACAAATGCAATTACCAATGTGACCTGCCATTAGTAGAATCAGCGAAGTAGTGAATGCGAGCCCCAATTAAAGTACTCACATGAAATAAACAAGAAATAAGAGGAAATATGAACATTTTGTTTAGCTTGCTGCAGCATACATTGCATGATTTAACTCATAAAAGTAACTGAAACAACCCATAGGTTCTCTGCAGGCATCCATTCAAATGTTAACATGTCAAATTAGTCCATTAAATGGACGTTATCAGTGGTTATCACTGCCTTTCTAATAGAACAGATAGGCCAAATTGTACCTTCCAACAACATTGAAAGTGTAATAATTGCAGTTTTACACATGTTAACATTTACAACAAAACTACTTGTTTATGGTTTAGGCAACAAGATGACTTGTTTACAGAAAAGGTCATGGTTTAATATTAAAATAGATATGTTTGTCATATATCTTAAGTTACTTATGCAAGTTGAATAGATGATAACGGCCTTCTACTGTAGTATGTGTAGCAAGCCTCCCAAAAAACAATAATAATAACGCCCACGAAATCAACAAACTGATCATAATATTATCAAACGATGCTGCAGCTAAAATGACTAATTGTCATACCCCTCAGCAAAATCTTGATGGTTTTCTTTACATTTCTGTTGCACCATATTGGAGCTTTCTAGTGCCAGAACAAGTTGCAACCCCTAACAGCTTGTTGCTCGCAGGCAATATCAACTTCACAATAAAAGGGACCTCAGTAGGACACGGCCACAGTAGAGTCAATTTGTCATGTCCCCAGGCCTCAGGCCGCTTGAACATTGAGGAGGCGTATCAAATCACATCACAGCAGCAGGTTCACAGATGGTTGTATGAAAACATTATATCAAAAATCTGAGATACAGGGAAGACAGTACAGAATCTGATCTACAGTATTCAACTTATTTTCCTGAGGAATATCATCAAGGTCACTTTGTTTGTGTTAATATATTTCAAGGACCACACAAACTCGATTCATAAATGCAGAGTCTTTTGCATCATGCACGTTCTCCAGTTACTTGCTTCAAATGTAAAAGAAGGAAAAGGCAAATTATGCTGTGTTGCGGCATTATTTCATTCAAACAAATCTTAAAAATTGCAGCAAAACACAATCCATCAGGCAGGGGATCAACATTATATTGCTTAAAGTCCTGTTTTTGGCCACCTGATGAATGCAAGTCCGACATTCACTACCTTTTTGGTTCAGACATTGCTGTGGGGAGTCTGGGGACCTCCATTTCGAGCTTGTTGCTTAAGGAGATGTGACTTTGTCAAGACCTCCTCTCCTTTCCCTTCCTCCTTTAACAAAAAAAGTAGGTCCCCTCAGTTTTATATCACCATACAGAGTTAATGTAAACCAGGGGATTCAAACATATTACAGAGATTTAAAACCTCCTCCTCCTCTGAGGGTCCTCTTGCTCCAATGCCGGCACGCATTAGCCAATCCCTTTAGCCTCAGATTACACAGCGGGGATGAACTGGCTTCGTGCATCGTCGCCCGGGACGCCCTCCTTATTCTGGACCAGATGTTGTCGGATAATGAGGAAGGCTCACTCCGAGCGCGCGCACATCACTCACACTAACTCACGCGCTGCGTAATTGCCACATTTAGTACTCAGTAAATACATTTTAGCAGCCTTTATTACTTATTATAACACACATGTGAAACTGCTGTATGTAGTAAGAGATGTAGGAAAGTTAATTAATATTTAGCATGTCAAACAAAAGTAGGCTATCTGTAGTAACTCTAGAGCCTGCATATGACATATGTGTATGACGCCAGATGTGTCAGTGAATAGCCGAACAGAGCCGAAGTGTTTCTCAACTACAGTTTTTATCTTTGTGACACATGTTTAGATAAATGACGCTAGAATGAAATAAAATAATATACAAGCAAAGGTGCCTGGCTGCATTTTGTTCTTTTCTATCCCCCTGACACAGACTGAAGGCTCCATCAGTGACCCACCTTGACAGCAAAATGTCGCCCACAGGTAAATTCCAATAAATAGTGATCCGGTACACTTCAGAGGCTCCATGGCAGCTGCGGTGTACAACTCCCTCTGTAGCACGCTGGGGATGTCAAACTTCGGGGGAGCGCAGCTTTGTCAGATTGCTGGTGCTACACGCGCTCTCACTCGCGCTCTCTTTCTCTCTCTCTCTTTCTCTCGCGCACACACTCGCGATGTCAGTCTCTATTGTCACCTCAAAAGTCACTTAAGATTCCACTCTCCTCCCCTCTGTCTGCGCTCAGCTGTATTTTATATATCAGACTTGTCGTGCTTGTCCTCTGCGTGTTTCCTCGTGCTGGTGTTGATGGCAGCCACCTGTCTGCGCAATGCCGTCAACTTCCTCGTGGTTTGTCCCCTCCAGTCCTTTCGGCTACATCCTCATCTGCTGTATGTGTCGGGATGACTCAGAAGAGAAAAACACGCATGCAGAAATCTTCAATAGAGGGCGACATGACCTCACCCTCTAGTTTGGAAAACGTTTTATTATTTACTCATGCGAATGTAGAATTAGAAACTAGCTAATTGTTTAATTTTAGCGTATGGCCAACAGTGTGTTTTATCAGTAGGATTTTGTTAAAAGGGCTCCCCCGTATGTTACAGGTTTTTGTGCATGTTAACGGTCTGCAAAGGCTAAAATCCCAAAGTTCCCTCCAGAGGAAGTTTCTCTCCCACACACTCACACTTGAAACGCCTCAATTTAAGTCCTTTGTTCTGTACTTCTGTAACATAGTGACATCAATATGTAACACTTCCGCTTTTATTGGCTAGCACGCCAACACATTATGTGATATGCAAAGGGTCGGGATATCTCTAGGCGGTTATCCAATCACAACAGCTGGCCAGCTAACCAATCAGAGCAGACTGCTCTGGTTTCAGGCACAGTGAAAAGAGGTGCTGCAGCACAGGCAGTATGAGAAAAATAAAGAGCTTTTTGAACATTAAAGCATGGAAACATGTCACAGTAGGCACAGTAACAATAACAGGCTACAGTAATTGTCACTGCCTCATCTGTTTTTATTTAGGATTGTTATAAGGCCAAAGGTATTTGTATAGCAAATACATCTCAACAATATAAAGATTTTCAATTAAAAGGTGCACATTTGAAAAAGGGGGCGTTTCCCCCCTCATTATGTATAACTTTGTAATCTTCCTTTACTTTAGCCGTCATTTTGACACTTTCACCACTTTTTTCTCACTTTCTTGCCTTTTCTCAAGATGGTGTTCTTCCTCCTGTTTTAGATTTCGTCTTGCCTGATTCTCTATTGTTTCTCCCCTCGATCTCCATATTTTGCACCTTTTCGCTGCCCCGGGCATCACCTTTGGCATCCTCAACTCTCCATATTCTCTCCTCCAGTTAATTCTACAAGCCAATAAAAACATTGTCCTAATGTAAGGTTCAAGGTTCAAGGCTTTTACTGGTCATGCGTACATAGCTACAGTGTAGTTATGACGATGAAAATCTTAGGTCACAGGCTCCTCCAACAGTGCAACACAATAGAACTGAAAAAACTGAAAAAATAAATACAAAAAGAAAAATAGTAAAAAATGAAATGGAATAGTGCAATAAGAGTCGATATGCAAGTGATTGAATATGATATATTAGATAAATCATTTCTAAGTAGCAGCCAGATTAATGTTGTGGAGGCTGTTTCAAAAGTTCAGGTGTTTAACAGTCTTCTGGCCTGTGGGATGAAACTGTCCCTGAGTCTGGTGGTTTTAGCCGTGATGCTGCGGTCCCGCCTGCCAGACGGCAGCAGACAGAACAGTTTGTGGCTGGGGTGATGGGGGTCTTTGATAATCCTGTGGGGCTTTCTTCCTGAGCCGCTGGGAGAGGTCCTCCATGGATGGCAGCTCCATCCTGGTGATGTGCTGTGTAGTTTTCACCACCCTCTGTAAAGCCTATGAAATCAACTGTGGAAGTTCCAAGGTGATATATTTTATTAAAAAATTAAAAGCAGTATGTATCTGTATCTGTCCATATAGAAGTTATGTTAGCACTGTATTTATTTTAGATTTGCTTAGGTTATGCTGCTTTTTCCCAGTGGTATTTCTCCATAATTCTGCACAAACCTTATAACAAGGACAGTATATGTTGCTATTTTGAGTTACAAACCATTCAAACGATGAATTCACTCGCTTAATAATATCATGTTAGCATGCACCACTGAACGCATCTTCAATCAGTGTGGCAGCCGTCCAGTGAAGGGAATATTTGTGCATGTGGAAAGTTGTTAAAGCATAATGCATCACATAATCACACCTTTAATGAGACAGCCTGAGCTCTGTGAGGTGCCGGAAAGAAAATAGGGAAGCACGCTTCACACTGACTGAGATGTCTTTGTGTAAGTGCAGGTGTGAGTAGGAGTCAGTGTGCAGCCTCATCAGCTTTATGAAGATGATTCAAGTCGTGGTTGGTGTAATCCACTGACGATCTGTGCCCCATCTGTTAGCTCATATATACCACTACTTTCATCTTAATGTCATTCTCTCTCCTTTTGCCTTCCTCTAAGTCACCCCTTCACACTTCCTCTAGTTTTCTGCTTTTGTACCCTCTGCCTTACACACTCCTTCATTGGTGATCTTGTCTGCCCTTGGTCGCCTCCTCCTGTTTCTTATAAATCGCAAACATTGCGTAGAAACTGGCGTACGCCATCTTTTGAGCATACGCACCGTTTACAAATGAGGCCCCAGGTGTTTAACAGTCTTATTGCCTGCGGGATGAAACTGTCCCTGAGTCTGGTGGTTTAGTTGATGCTGCTGGTAACGCCTGCCAGACGGCAGCAGACAGAACAGTGTGTGGCTGGGGTGATGGGGGTCTTTTATAATCCGGAGGGATTTCTTCCTGAGCCGCTGGGAGTAGAGGTCCTCCATGGATGGCAGCTCCGTCCTGGTGATGTTCTGTGCAGTTTTCACCACCCTCTGTAAAGCCTTACGATTGAGGGTGGTGCAGCTGCCGTACCAGGCCGTGATGCAGCCAGTCAGGATACTCTCTATGGTGCACCTGTAGAAGTTGCAGAGTATCCTGGAGTCCATGTCGAACCTCCTCAGCTTGCGGAGGAAGAGGAGCCGCTGTCAAGCTTTTTTGGTGATGGTGGTGGTGTGAAGAGTCCATGTCAGGTCCTCAGTGATGTGGACCCCAAGGAACCTGAAGCTGCTGACTCTCTCCACCGTAGTCCCATTGATGGCGATGGGGGCATGTCCCTCTCTCTGCTGCTTCCTGTAATCCACAATCAGCTCCTTAGTTTTGCTGACGTTGAGATGGAGGTTGTTATCCTGGCACCAAGATGTCAGGTTTTCGACCTCCTCTCTGTACGCCATCTCGTCGCCGTCGGTGATCTGGCCGATGACGGTCGTGTCGTCAGCAAATTTCACGATGCTGAACTGTAATCAATGAACAGCATTCTCACATATGTGTTCCTCTGGTCCAGGTGTGAGAGGGCAGTGTGGAGGGTGAGGGCTATGGCGTCGTCTGTGGACCTGTTTGCTCTGTAGGCAAACTGCAGGGGGTCCAGAGAGTCAGGGAGGGAGGAGGTGATGAATAATTTGACTAACCGCTCAAAGCACTTCATTATGATGGAGGTGAGTGCTACTGGGCGGTAGTCGTTGGGCAGGTGATTTGTCTTTTTGGGGACAGGAATGATAGTGGAGTGTTTAAAACATGTGGGGACTACAGACTGCAGCAGGGACCTGTTGAAGATGTCTGTGAACACCTCTGCCAGCTGAACTGCACACATCCTGAGAATACGGCCAGGGATGCCATCAGGTCCAGGAGCCTTGTGTGGGTTGACCCTTTTAAAGGATTTGCACACATCTGCCCTGTTTAAAACAAAGGGCAGGAAATGACGACAGAACAGCTAAAAAAGACATTTCTTTCTTAATGTTGAGGACGCTTCCTTGGTAGGACATGTCTTCCGAGTCAGGTCCTTCAGAAGTGAGGCAAGAATCCTTCCTAGCCTCGGAAAACGAAGAATGGTGGAACAGGCTAACAGGTGTGCAGGTGTGCGTCATATGCGAGGCCCTGCCTTAAATGGAGCGCGATTTCCGCCAAAGATTTTGGAAATTGGTCCGTGTGCAAAGCATTGTGGGGATTTTAAGACCGCGGAGGATACACATGTGCAGCCTCGAAATTTCCCGCAACGAAGGACGCCGGCCTCGGTAGAATTCCAAGGATCCTGGACATTGGAACAGTTCTTCGGCGGGACTCGATGACGTAGCATCCTTGAAATAGTGGCTCTGGAGGAGTCTTCCTCGACATTGAGAAACACCCCGTGTCAGATTTAGGTTCTTTTGGGGAGGTCGAGACAAATCACATTGTTTGGAGGATGCAGTTTGAACCAGAGTAGCAGCATGGAGGTCGGATCGTCACCAAAATAAATAAATAAGTGGTCCGAAAAAAGTTAATGACAAAATACACATAACCTTCCTCAGGCAGTGTGTCAGTGTGTTTGTGCCGGGGACAGGAGACACCCCATGATGAGAAACTGTAAGAAAGTATCGGGGGATCCCTGCGGAGTGGAGTCAATTCATTTTTATTTTTTTATTTGGTGGTTTGTGTTCCAGCTGTCAATCAGCTGAGCGGCGTCTCCACTGCAGCCTGTGCGTCTCAACCCCCAGCAGCAACTCTATATCCACCAGTTAAAGGTGGGGTAGGTAATTTTGGAGAAACCAGCTCGAGTGCGCAAGAATTTGAAAATACACAGCCGGAGAAAATCTGCCACTTCCTTACAGAGCCCCTCCTCCAACACGAACGCGCACATGACCAATGAGGGCACGAGATAAGTTTGTGCACAGATGGAAGGCTGACAGGCAGGTAGGCCATCCAGTTATTGGTTGTGCTTTTTACAGTATTACGGCTTCCACAGATGACATTTTTTTATGGATTTTTTGTCAAAGCACTTAAGATATTCATTGCTATCGGGATGTTAGAGCATTCCATGGAATATAACAAAAAGTGTATCTCGAGCCGGTTTCTCAAACTTACCTACCCCACCTTTAAATGAAATAAAACAAATTTGTTGTGTTATATCAGCTGCCAAATCTACCAAATATATGGTGTTCTTAGTTTCCATACCTCTTGTGTTTTATGAGCGACTTATCAAGTCTTAGCAAACGGCATAAAACATGATTAAACATGATAGTATAAACCATGCTCGTATCTATACAACCTATAGAAAAGCAAAACGGCCTCAGTTTAGACGTAATTCTGTCCTGCTTACCGCATCATTTATGAGAATACATATGTCAAAACATTAAGACAACATATTCGAGGTGGTTTTGTGGTGGGTTGACATAA